TGTTGTGGGCCCATCATCATCATCTGCTGCTGCTGCTGCAACATGAAAGCCTGCTGCTGGTGGGCCATGGCTGCCATCTGCACCGAAGGTGGTGCAACGATGGTGCTTGAGGCGTAAAATGGGTCGTGTGCTGTTTGTGGCATCATGGGACCGACCATTGCACCTTGTTCCCATGGATTGTAGCTCACGCTCTGGTTGCTTCTTCTGATTGCGTCATCATATAGACTGTCTAGTGTGAGTTTGTCCAGCCCTCCAGCCTTTTTTTTTTTTTTTTTCAAAGTTTGAAGCATCAGTACAAAGTACGACTCATTAAGAACTTTTTCTACCCTCACAAACGAGCTTGTTTACATGTGTGTGCCCACATGTGTATTGTATATCTATTTACAAACAAAGAGGAGAGATAGAAGCTATCTATCCCCATTTGAAATCACCAAATATGGAAGGTATAATTTTATGACAATCATGACATCCTAAAATCTAATAAATCATTAAAAGGGAAAGATATAGACCAGAACCCTATATGGAAAAATAGCATAGCACAAAATAATACCAGTCTGCTAGCAGTTGCCGCGCTCTCATTGGAGCTAGGAGCAGAAACAAGTGCCAATTCCCAGCCCGTAGTTCCATTTTCCAGAATTGCACCAGTAGAGGTTGGTTGGTCAGTCGTGCCTACAAAAGCCATACAAAATTACATTAAAGCTGTTTACCGGGAAATGATATTGAATTCGAATAGGAGCATAGTCAAATGGACAAATCAAATACTAAGCCCTCAAATTTATACGGGTTCCTGAAGTCAACACAATAATATTATTGAAAGGCATAAAGTTCAAGCTACTCAAAACAAAGTTAGCAGGATTGATCAGAAGAGTTTTCACGACCAACTTAACTTCCAACTTACTGTTCCATATGATTAGATTATAAATCGAACTTACCAACTGGTACAATAGCCAGAGCCATTGCATTCTTTTCATCCAACTCTGAAGCCTGTGGACTAGGATCATTAAGGCCCTAGCAACAAGGAAGCACATCAGTTTGAGAAGGCTACAAATACTCCACCAAACATCAAATTTGTGGAAAAACATTAAGTTAATACAACGACCAAAGAAATATTCTGAGAATTACCAACAGGTCAGGTGTCGCAGCTACAGGAGCTTCCACTTTAACTGGTTCTGGACCTGGTTCTGGTTTAGGTGGTGGGGATGGGGGGCGTGCCTCCTGTACCTCTGGGTTTTTCTTGTTCTCTATGGCCAAGATTACTTTGGGTTTATCATCAATTGCCTGATTCATTGAATAAAGGGAAGCTAAAATATTAAATGGAATTATATAAGTATCATGTAAAATCCCAAGCAATCTAGAATTTTGAACGATATTACTAAAGAGGTTTAACATGGATATTGCAATAACAGGTCAAAGCTTTTATAAATGTAACATATTATAAAACTAAAAAAGTTCTGAAAATGTTCATTTTCAGATATATAGATGGTAAGATGAACAAGGGGACTTTATCCAGTGCAAACACTTAAATAGCTAAACTCAGTCAGTAATCTGAGCTAGATCTATGGACCAACTTACCTTCATTCCACCGGAGAAAAAAAAAACTAAATATCACAAGATGTGTCATAAAACTATAAGTAGGATTCATCATTATCATTTATGAACTATTTGGGAGTTAATAGTGCCTTATTGTGTGAGAAAGCCGAGATCTTTGTCCTATGAGTTCAGATATTACATCTATGCCCATATCTATAATACTAAAAAAAAATCACTTAGCTTGAAAAAGTTTTGATTGATCAATATACCCTTATGAAAATAGTTAATGACATTCAATAACTTAAAAAGACAAATGTTCGTTCATAGAGATAGAGTTTACGTAACACCATTACTACCATAATACCATTAAATAACTCCAAACAAAAAATAGCCCTTCATTTACCTACAACACACAAACACCCAGAGTACACATGCTAAATTTAGCCATATGAAAATAATAAATAATGAATGATAAATAATTCAAAAGTTGTAATGTCAAGACGTTTTTCAAACTCGAGTCAATATGTTACCCTTAGACTATACATTAACACAACCCTATCATTCCAAATTATAATATGGATCATTAATTTCTTTGTTTTTCTCTTATTAATAGACTTGTCTTAAATAACCATTTGAATTATATAACATGGTATTGCTAATAAAGATATAAAATTATGGAATTTCATTTAACTGAATTATATATACATTCGTGTACATATTTTCATATTTTTCTATAGATCATTTGAAATTTACTTTACCTAAATTTGGTAGCGTGCAATGTGTATGGTTTTACTAGTAATATTTTAAAGGCTGCATCCACAAGCTAAATTTCGGAAACTCAATTAAACTCATCAAAACTTGTTCCCCAAAACCACACATCATGGACAATTTAAAATGTCTCCTGATAAGCAGTTGTGTTATAGGCTGATATATCTACTCTTTTGCTTTTCTTTTTGTCACATACAGCATTTTATACATTGCTCCCAGTCCAAGATTTAAACAAGTTTAACATGGGCTTTCATACCAAATCCTTGCGAACCGTGGAAGCTCGAGGCGCCTCTCTCACATACTCTTCCATTGCTTGTAGAAATGATGCAGGGGGCTTCATTACGAATCAATAAATAGACAAATTGAGTTATTTGAGATTTTCAAAAAGATATTCAGAAGAAATCAATTATTTTCCAAAAGGTAACAAAAGAAAATCCAAACCTGCTCAATCTTGATAAACCTTTCCCCGCGTCCCACATCGAGGCCTTTACATATTTCATAGAACTCTGATAGTCTCTCAGCCTGAAAATGTGGAGAAAAATTAAGAAATATAAACGGAAATATGCCAAAAAAGACAGAATTATTTCCCCCCATCTAAAAAATATTCTCAATGAATATAAGGAAATTTTTACTGAAGATAATACCTGCTGTCCAGCCCTTCGGTATATATCCAGAGCCTTAATAGCATCATTGCGTTGCATCTCAAAGAACTGTCAAAAATAGAGGTTAGCATATGTCTGTGGTCTGCTCTGTAACCAAAGTCCACTTTAAATAGACAATCACAGCCAACCTTGTCAACTAAATTAACTGCACCATCACTTATAGCATTGTAAATTTTAATGCTTTCCAAAGCAACCTATACAAAACAATCATGGACAATCAAAACAAGATAATGTTACATGAAAGTCACTTATATGAAATCATGATCGTGCAAATAATGAAGATCTTCACTAACCATTGAAAGTGCTAATTGAATCACAAAATTATGAACTGCTGCTCCTTGTGGCTGCAATCAACAAGGGGTATAAAAAAATAAAATGAGATATTAATTCCATGGTACAAGCTGCAAGATTATGAAACCATTTGCCTTTGAAAAGAAGACAACATTTACTGGATTAACCACCTAATATAGAACTAAGCAATTCATAAAAGTTACCAGGCAGCCAAGAACGCGAAATAGGAGGTCTTGCAAAGAAGGTAGCTGCTCAAGCAACTCAGGAGTGTCCAGATCTTTGGTTCTCTGCGCCACAATTTCCATTTTAGGGTTGTCTACAGGAAAAACTACTATAACCCCCCCCCCCCCCCAAAAAAAAAAAAAAACACTACTAACTGCATAAGAAATTGTGTTAGTATATATCACAAATTAGCTATTTCTTTGTAATCACTGGTTAATGGGATGAAGAAGGATGGCAAAGAAGTTAGTTTCAGGGGTCCCTCACTTATAAAAAATAAGGCCCCAAAATTAAGCTTTTTGATAAGGAGGGGAAAAGTAAGTGACTGAAAAAAGCTTTAACGAAAAAAATAAAGAATGCAAAAGCGACAAATTTTGAGCCTGGAAAATTGTTAACGACTGAATGCATACAATTCCCAATTTACAGTATGTCACAACTGAATAAGAAGAATATCATGCTAGCACTTCTAGCTACCAAATGATATAATTACAAGAAAATATGCATTCAAACAATTCCCCATCTAAAGTTAGTTCAACATAGAAAGTACATATGTTGGCCTTTCACATGCATTAAAATGCATGAGTTCAGTGTATATTTTGGACACCAAAAGCAGCTCTACCCAGAATAAGCTTAAACCTTCAAAATAGAAAAATATACTAAACAAGAATGCAAAGATCCCATATTCCAGTGAATTTATAGAAAAGCAATAGCATGCTACAGAAGGTATAGATAGTTTTCTTACAGGGCGATCTGCCTCAACATCATATTTCAGCACACGAAAACATTCCAGCCTCTCCTCCAAAAATAACGCATAAGTGCGCACCCATGCAGAGTAATCCCATGCTGTGCAGCATATTAGAACACATTCATCACCAAAGAACTCAACTTTTCTAAATTCAAGTGTAGTCACAAGGAAAATAGATGACATACCATTTGGACTGGAATCATCCTTGAAGTGAGCCAAGTTGAGGATATGGCTTCTGCTCCTGCCATAGTTGATAAGTTCTTCTTGGAATGTTGGGTCCACTTCCCTCAAAGCACGATGAATAACAATCAAAGTTTTCAAGGCAACCTGACCATCAAACACACCTCAACAATAAAGTACACATCCAACAATCACCTACTTATCAAGAATAGGCAAGTATCCAGTCAACCTGACGAGTAACTAAGATAATACAATCAATCACAGCCATCACCAATCTGAAGTATCTTTCACTAACATCCATCATAGTGATGTCAGAAACTAAAAAGTCCCACAATAAACCAGATGGCAAAGAGGTTTTACTGAAATGGTAGATGACAGAGTGTAAATTTAGAACCATCCAGGACTTGGATACACCATAACACTAGAACATTATGTATTCATATTTATATGTTGGTCATTATCAGCAATATGACATAGGAATTAATACCTATTCCATGAGAGTATTTATATGAATGTACACTATTACTAGAAGTAACTTGATTTGAGAAGAGAACTTGATTTTAGGAATGTACTAAATTTTAGGAAGGAGCTTAGTTTTGGGTTTTTATTCCTTTTTAGAATTAATCAAGTCAGATATTACCACCATTGACCATGGATTCAGGTTCCAACCATCATGGAAATTTGACCGCGTTATTGATATTATTCCCGAATTCAATTACCGATCCGTTGACCATCCAAATATGTAATCCAGGGATCTAGGAATGCAATTCTCACCAAACCAAGTTACTGCCATCCCATTGGGAATTATAGTATTCATTCTCATGCTTCATGTTAGCCACCCCACCGTTTGATATTTCCTCCACTGATACCAAAGCAAGCATCTTGGTAGGAAATTGGATTTATCTTGACTCTTGAGGCCAACCTTTCTTAACTTTTAGCAAGTGTGTTATCAGCTGCCAAATTTAATGAGGGACAATTTAAGCCAATGAAGGCCTCAAACAATTTGTGTAGAGTAGGCAATTTCAACGCACATTCAATATAGTTACCTCTAGCTTCTTCAGAAGAGAAAATAAAGAAAGTAACCATTGTCAGCAATAAAACAATATGTGAAGTTCTACTTCAGCTTCTCTCCACTGTATCTCAATCACTCAAAAATTTATAACATAATTCAGCTAATAAATACTCAAGAGCTCCTAGAAATCTCATTAACATTGTCTGATTTCCTGGATTCAAACCTGAATGTTGACACAAACAGCAGCTTCAACGAAACATACAGCATGCATTAATGTTTACTTATATTCAGTGATAAAGAATTAATCAACCAACAGAGTTATCACATAATAAACATTATAAGCTTGAGTGCCTACTGCCCAATTATGTGTCTTTGCCAATCGTCTTGCAAGAGCATGTATGCAGTAAGCAACATCAGCTCGAGGTCTTGTAGCAGACACAGCTGCAAAAATAGCTGCAACAAGAAATACAAAAGAACTGCTTCAGATCCCTAGCTTTACGCAGAATTTAATATACAAGCACAATAGAGGTAAAGTGACAAAATAGAGGACATGCCACCACACAAAAATTTGCATGTCACTGACCTCTTATGTACTTCTCTTTTGCCAGACGCTCAACATGATTTGTCGCCTTAACAATAGCAATGTCCAATTCCTACAAAAAAAAAACCCAAATAGAAATAACAAAATCATCTCTAATGCAACAAACATAAGAAAATAAAACCATCAACAGAATTTAATTTATTCATACCTTGTAGTCACTATTTATTTTAGCCAAACTGACAGTGGTGGTATCCTTAATGGATCCAAGTGCTTTTCTCAAGCTATTTTGTGTGCCCCCTCCCGACATTCTCTCTCAATCATAAGAGTCTACATGAGGCCCAACGAGGAAATAAGGTCCATTTATTTAAATGAATATCAGCTTACCATAAACAAACTAAATAAGTCCATAACATTGAAGATGAATAGGAAAAAAAATTCTTTCAAAGGCAAGCATGTATCACAGTTTCGTTTAAACCATTAATGACCCTTATACTTATTTAGAGACCAGAAAAATGAGAGAACGGAAAGAAGAAATCCTTGTTGCAAAACTAAAGTCAAACTTACAATTGGTGGTTATATTCCTTTATATACAGAAACCATCCGAAGATGTAACTATTATGGATATGGATTCAATCTGATTTGAACAGCTTCGGTTACTATAAATTAAACTTGAATCTAAACAACACCAATCCTTAGAAAACAAAAAAATCATCGATACCCGGAATATGATTTTGAATTACCAGCAACAATCGTCAGCCTGTGCTAATTTTTTGTGTCTATATATTCATATATATATGTGTGTGTGTGTGTGTGTGTGTATAATATCAATAGATACTCTTGGATTTCACCAAATGAGAAATAAATTCACATAGAAATGTTCTCGTTTAGGGAGAGATGATATCATAACAGCACAGAGGCACAGAATTACAGCACAAATAAGTAGAAAATAATCACAGCAACTACAATTCAGCATAGAGTCACATATCTAGACATCAAATTAAACCAGGGGTAATCATTCATAATACGAAAATCACAAAACCAAGCTTTCAACTAAAAGATCCAACAAAATAAAACACAAATACTAGAAGTCAAAGGTTACATTTCACATTAGCCTTTTCAGCTCATCAATCAACACAGATTCATAGAGAGAGATCAGCAAACAAATGGGTTTACTTTTACCTGAATGGTAGATAGAGAGAGAGAGAGAGAGGAACAGGTGTTGGTCTGAGTCAGAGTCTGCACCGAAGAAAAGTCTCCAGAAACGAACTACAGGGTTTGGACATTTTGGTATGCCGTCGGCGTCATGTACCGCATTATTCTATACATTATATACAGATATTTATTGTCTGAATATTAATATTTTATTACAAATGTAGTAATATATATTCTCTGCATCGACACTTACTATTTCTCTCTCGCTCTCTGTGAAATCTTGTTCCTTTCTCCGTTTTACAGTCTTCTATTTCCAGGAATTTCGCTGCTTCCACACTTCGCGACTTTTTGGAGTCTAGATAATTCTAGATGGGATAAAGACTTTTATTTTGAGAAATAATGTCAAACACAGTCTTAATTTGCAGTCGAGTGGACTAAATTAACCCCGTCGTAGACTGAAACACAGAATTAGTAGGTTTTGATTTAGTTTTATTGGATACGGTAGAACTTTCAAGCCCATTAAATATATAGATCACAAACCAAACTAAACAAAACACCAATTTGATTGAACAAAATTTATGTACAGTATTTAATTTGATAAAATACGAATTTCACTTTATACAACTATAAATTGAAGAAAGCAGATGGAATAAATTTTGAAATCTATAATATAAAATATAGCAGATTTCAATAAGTTCATCTGACAGTCTCAAATAGATCCATTCAACGATTACCGATTTCTGTCTCAAAATCATTCACATTATATCGTACTTTCATACATAGATTAGCCCTAGTTCATCAAATAAAAAATGATAAATTCTCAGATGTACTCTTAATTGATAAAAAAATGAACTTCATTGAATAAAAAATAAGTAGTAGTCTATCGATTTTTCAATACAGCACCTTCACTTTTCATTCAATAAAAATGTGTCATTTGTAAACTTTTTCTTATTTTATTACTTTATTAATTTTTTAATCAGTCAAATTGAAATCAACGATCTCAAATCAATTTCAACATGATATTTCTATGATACTTTAGCTTTATCCAAAAAATGAGATATCTCAGTTTATAATGCACTCTTAAATTTGACTCATTAAAAAAATAACTAGACAAATTTAATTTTCAAAATCTATTACAAATGCATTTTGATGGGTCAGGGCTTAGGGATCAACTCATGTTATAATTACAGTGTAAATAAATAGTCCAATTAGACAAGATTCAATAGGTCCAACCCAAAGGAGTCTACACCCAGTTAAGTTCATCAGGGTTCAAAAAATTACATCATAAAGGGAGGTAGGGTCATTCCAATAGCCTCATCTTAGCTACCTTAGAGTGAGGGTCATCCAAGAGCCTCATCAAAGCTACCTTGGAGTAATGGTCATCCAACAGCCTCATCTGTGCTGCCTTGAAAAAAGTCAACTATCCCGTCATCCTTTGACTGAATCTTATGGAAAACACTATAACTGACTCATCCGTTGACAAGATGGCGCCAGCTCCACCACATTTCTCTTTTAGTTACTGATAAAGACGACTATAAATTGTAAGCCCCGTCAACACTTGGGGGACATCACATTCAATCGAGCACATCTCTCATATCTCTTTCAGCTTCTAACTCTTCCCTCTCTCTACACACTTGAAGTAACAAAATATCCCGGCGATTTTAGCCATTCAAAGTGAACGTAGATCACGTTGGCCAAACTACTGTAAATCCTTGTCTTACTTGTGTCTCTATATCTCTCTACTTTATTATTGCACTTATTACTGCTTATCTAACAGGTGGTGTACAAATCTCATTTGTGCATCATCACATTTTATGGAGGAAAACAAAGTTAAAAAAAATACTTTAATTTAATTAATGTTTAAGATGGATTATTCTTTTTTTGCCATGTAGGAATCGGACAAATTATCCCCAATTATTAGAATCCATGATTTTCAGACATTTGGAATTAAAAATCTTTATTATAATTTATGGTTGTATTATAAAATCGATAAAAGTTATCAGATATGAGTTTACATTTGTCGAGGTTGGTTTATAGGATGGCATGATTTAGATTATAAACATACCACAAATCTAATACAATTTTATAATTTTAAACATAAATCATTGACCGAGCATAAATCGGTTCAAATTTATTAAATATTCTTTCCATTCTTAAATATCTGTCGTTTAAGATTTTTACACAGGGATTAAGGAAGCTATTAAATAACTCTAGTATGAGTAAAAAATAATTAAATAAGATTAAAATACTCTTATTCAATACATATTGAAAATGAAAGGAATATAAAAGACACTTAGCCTACACTTAATCTATTAAGCATTTATTGAAAAACAGAAATAAGGGTAAATTTAAAAGAAAAAATATTAATTATGCTTTGGTTTCATAAAATAACAGATATTGTAGAACAAAAAAATTGATTAAAACGACAGATATTTAGGAACAAAGAGAGTATAAATTTAACCTTGAGGAGTTGGAGTAATTAATTAGCTGACCTATTACCAACTCCACACATATCCATTGGCATCCCCCATCAATTTTCTCAACTTCCAAACAGTGAATAAATAATGGAGGCACACAGAACAAAATTACATAAGGGAACTGGCTCTGGCAGCAGCCATTTTTCTCTGGCAATAGCAACTTTTGTTTTTAAACAGATGATTTGTATTATCCCGCAGTTATTAAAATCACTCACTAACTTTTAAACTCCAAGCTGTGTCAGAATACTGAAGTGTACTGAGTACAACATAAGGGGAAGTTGAGTCCCAGTCGGATAATTATGAACCGTCCGATGTGACGGTGATTAGATCAAGCCTTCTATGTGGGACCAATTTTACATCGAGTGGTCGGTGTTTATCATTTTTACGACTTTTTCTTCGTAATTATTGGTACAAATGAAATACGGTATCAAATTTGACACCATACTAAAATTTATCATAAAAGGATAAAATTATAAATTGATCTAAAAATATTTCTTTCTGTCGTAATTCCGTCAAATTAAATCGAAATTTCACTCTTATTTTGTAGTAAAATCAAGTCAATGGTACATCATATTTTGTCGATGATCAACTGAAATACAATCCAACACCCTACGGAAAACAACAATGAAGAATGATAGACAACAAATCAAAGTCTGATCCCATAATATTGTATTTACCGTTGTTTTGTTTTGAGAATGGGTCTCTTTGTACATCATAAGATTACATTTTGTTTGTATTGGAACATTTTTTCTTTAAACGGTACATGGGTTTGAAATACAACAGAAGAGTGATCAATCTTGTCTTTTGGAAGGAAGGCGAAGCAGCGACCAAGAAAAAATTATTGGAGGTGGGGGTAAAGACAACGGTTTTCTGAATTTTATGTTGATACAAAGTACCCTTCGATTTTGAGGTTTTTTCAAGAATGGGCTTACTTATAGGGAGTTTTAACTTCTGGGTTAATTACAATGATGTACTTCTTAGTTTGGGTGAAATAACATGACAACCTCTTGAGATTTTCAAAATGATATAGAGATCTCTTATATGAAGACCTGTTGATAGATTGGATTTATGTTGAACTCTAGTTCGAATCATACGGTAATGGATTTTGATCCGAGTCAATTTAGTTTAGTTTTCTATTCTTAGACCAATATTTCTCTCATTAACGCGTTGAAATTGGATATATAATTACTCGATTTATATTGGTCCAATTCGAAAGTTTGAAAAACAGCATATGTTGGTGAACACCGACATGCTACCCTATATTTATTATGGGATCAAATCAAATCAGATAAACGCATCATATGCTCCAATGATTATTAATTCAATTTTAGATTATATTTTAGAAAATAATTATTGGTCATGTCGGATTGAAATACAACAAGATCTAATTCATATTGGAATGCCTATATGTCGTAGTTTTTTTTTTTAAATTATCGCTAATGAAACAATATTTTATCCACAGTTGACTAATTTTAAAAAAATTAAAAAAAAAAAAAGAATAATAAGAATCGGGTAAGGATTATTCTGAAATTTTTTTTTTCAAAAAAAAAATGAAAATTAAAACATAATTTTTATCAATATCAACGGTAGGAGTATCATTGTCAAAACATATAACGCTCAAGATGTTTTTGTGTTAGTTCTAAAGTATTAAGTTCTTTATATAAATTTATTAAATCTTAGAGGATGTAAATACAAATTGGATTCTCTTTTTCATAAGCTGGAAAGGAATTGCTTTGGGCCCACCATTGGTGGGCAATTTAATAATTACTTGTCAAATATTTATAGAGATGGCCACAGGCCAGCGGTTTGAAGTTGACTTGGTTAACACTACTACTTTTCAAATATTGGGGAAATTTTTGCATGAAAGATAGGAAAATATAACACAATCATAAAAATATAGTTTAGTGAATAAGATTTTTGTCACTGTGATTTTATTTTATTTTATTTTATTTTTGTTACAGGGTGTTTAAACTTACACCGATTATTTTTATGAGTTCGGATACTAGTCATTGTAGCCTGAATGAAATTAGAATATTTTTTCTGATGAACAAGGGTGACTGACCCTTAAGAAATATAGAAAATATTGAAACTGAGACCTCTAAATTACTAGAGGATAAGCTTAGCTATTGAACGACCTAAGGGTTTCATGGTCATTACTATTGCGGGATTTGATTTATATCTATACTACTTATAAAAAGTAAACTAATTGAAAAAACTTTTATTTTCCAAATCTACCCTTAATTAACACTATAAAACCAACCTTATCCTTAATCTAATGGCCGGTAGCTGATTTAAGAATACATCAGTTAGCCAGTGGAATTTGAACCATTTGTCACTTCTTATGCTTTGTTCATTGCAGTTATCACAACCAATAAATCTACAATTAGGATACCAGTTACAAGAATTTGAACCATTTCTTCTTCTTGTGCTTCTTTTATTGGCAGCTAACAACCAACAAATCTGCAATTAGAATATAACAGTTGCAAAATTAGAAGCTGGATCATTTTAATTCAGGCACTTCATACCT